ATATATATATATATATATATATATATAAATAGATATACTATCGATCTTCAGCCATGTTTCGTCACTAAAAACGATATATAGCCAGACGATGTCTTTAATACCTAAAAATAATTATATTTTTATTTAGCACTACAGTCCACTTAACTATACAAATGCTTCAAAACATTTTTTGATTGATCAATTTATAATATTCTTTGTAAAACTTCGATTGGTCAATCAAACTTTTTAAGCATTTGTAGGGTCAAGTAGACCGCAACCTATAATTTTACCCTGCGTTCGCTTTGACGCTTACAGCGCTTTTGGAATCATTTCATTCTTGTTGTTTATCAAATGTCAAACAAGGATAAACGATGCTTACGAGCGCTATGAGCGTCAAACCGCAGGGTTCGAGACACTGCAAAAAAATATAAGAAAATTTTAGAATGATGTTGCTTAAAATGCCCTAAATAAGTTGCATATAGAAGTATAATAGATTCTATATTATTTACAAAGAAATTGAAACATGAAGATATTAAATAATCTTACGCTGCAAAAAGTAGCCATTGTTAATGGAATAATATTTCCTGCAGTGATGCGAAAAGATTGATGGGCTCGTATCATTAACATAATAAGATTTCTCGCTTCTTTTGATTTCAGTTTATACCATTTAAGATCGCACAGAGCACGATGCACTGCATTACACTTAACAAATACATATATAAAAACATATTAATGCCAATGTCAGTTGAGCAAAGATTATTTCCAAAATTATTAACAAAAATTAATTAAGATTTAATTTTAATTTTTATGTTTGATCAGAAAAAAAATAGAAAGCTTATTTAACTTAATTAAATTTGCATCTTGATTCAATATTTAAAGAAAAACAATATTTTGTATCACAGTTAAAAATAATACTACTGTATGAGTATTGTACAGCTATAAGGTATACAATATACTAATTATATATTACATTTGTATGCACTTGCCTAAAAAAAAAATGTACAAGGCATCTAATAATAATCGTAACATCCTTAATTATATCTGATAATAGTCATAATTATCCTTTATAGGCAGGCAGATACAAATGTAGTACATAATTATGTTGTATATCCTTTGTAGGCAAGTAAAGCAAATTAAACTAACAATGAATAGAAAAATATTATACCATTTTGTAAATTTTCCAATAATTAATGAGAATTTATAAAGATCTGCGAATGCATTTTGCGCGATTCAGCGATAAAAAGTAGTACTACATCGTTTGTGGTTGCTATATCTACATATATATATATGTATATATATATATATATATATATATATATATACACATTGTATAATAACTTACTTGCTCCATTACAAGCTCTCCTGCACCACAATAAAGAAAAGTATTCATCAGTAAAGCAAGAAGAAGAACTGTCGAATAATAAACTTTTGTAATAACAAGATCATCCATTTTTGTATTAGTAAGAAACTGAAATGCATATCTT